AATCTAAGGTTAAGGATTGCTAAGGATACAAATCTCTACAATAAAGGAATCTCTTTCTAAAACTACATATATTAAAATCCTTCAATGTGTCAATTGTATTTATCATGTTTACAAGTTGTTAAAGCTATTTACTTGTCTAAAGTATAAATTTAAGGTTGATTAGTATAGGACTTATTCTATAGTAACTTAGTAGTTTCTCGCACGTTACTTCCTATTATTAAGTCATATTTACCCTAAATTTGATGTTCTAAGCGTAGGGTTAATATCATGCTTACTTTTATCTAAACCAGTTCTTGCAGAACAGCAGCAATAACAAATATTATCTTAACAATTTCTTTTTCAAACATGCTCTTTTCTAATAGCAGTATATCCTCAATTATATACTTTATACCTTAACAGCAAAATCTGAACTTAAATCAGCTTGAAATAGATAAGGTATACATTTTAGGAATTTTAGTTATTATGTGAAAATTAAAAGGTTATTTATTTTAGCTTATAAGAAATGAAAGTTATGAACAAGTTAAAGATCTTTTTGATAAAAACTTGAAAATAAATAGGAACTAAATGAAATTAACTTTTACTTGACTACTTGAAAAAAATTATTCTTTCTGGTCTAAAGAAAACAAATCAAAAATTTTATATTGATATAGCAAAAATGTTTTATCTAATAAAGAAGCAAATGCAATTAAAGGTAAAATTTTTTTATATTGATTTACAGTAATATTTAATTATTAACATTTTATTTTTTTATATTTAAGATAAACTTTATTAATAAAGAAGTATGAATCAATAAAAAGACATAATAATCAAACTGATAATGATTAGTATTAGTATAATAAAATGGATACAATCTTTGGAATATGCAAAAATATAATCCCTTTATTTTTAGTAAATAAGAAAACAGATATTATTGAAAAAAAGTGATTTTTATTTAAGAAAGTAGGATTTCTATCATAGTCATATTGTATTTCTATTAAAGTCAAATCTGAAAATAACTAAATGAAGTTTCTATTCCATGCTAATCTTAACCTCATAATTCAGATATTGTTTAAAAGAAATTAGTATATCGATTAGACAAAGTATTAAGATTTAAAAAATCCTATTATACGACTTTCTCAACTATTTCTTCAACATCTAATATATTGGCAATCTAAATACAGTATTAGCATTTAGTACAATTTTGTTATCTTTCATTTTTTCTGAAAAATAACTTCTATATTCAAAGATCCAGTATTAAAGATAATTATAATTTGGATATTATTAAGTATTACTAATTTAATATATAAAAAATAATAAATTTCTTTGTTATACTATATTGTAAATGAATTGCTTTTATAAATCATATTTATTATAATAATTTTAAAGATGAAGTTATGAGAATATTAGCATTTATTAAGTATTTATAATGATGTTATAGTTAGCATGATCAATTTTAAATTTATTGTGATATCAGATCAAGAGAAATAATGGCATTTTATGTTTTCTCTTAGGGTATTATATATATCAAGAAATATTTATGAATTTTAACTTCTTTTCTTCTGAACTTCTGCTTGATATACTTGAGAACTATAAATTAGAAGCATTATCTTCAGATATTTAAGATCAAATGCATATCGCTATTATGATTTTAGTCTATAATACTTTTCAAATACAATTTTAATTAACTTATAAATTTTAAAATTACTGCTCCAAATTGTACCTTTGTTGAATATTTATAGGCTTTAAAGTTTTTTAGCGATAATTTATTAAAAGAATTTATTGAAGCATTTGAAAATTTTAGTAACTATATTAATTGACATTGAATTAAATTTTCTAAAGTAAATTATAAATAATATATATGTATATATTTTGAAAAATATTTAATGTACTCTCTCATTATACTTGTAATAATATTCTTTTTCATAGTAATACATAGTATAAACTAATCTTCAAGTCAAATTTAGAAATCAAACTCTACAAATATATCTGAATAATATTTTTGATACTTTCTGAAATTACGCTCAGTAGAAGATTAGAAGTAAGTATCCTTTACTTGATTAAAAGATTAATATTTGACAAACATTGCCATATAAAATATAAAGGGATGTTTAGAATTTTGAAATTATACAGCAACAAAATTGATAAATTTATATGTATAATTATACAAAAAAAAGATATATTCTAATAAATATATTTATAAAGATAGAAAATAACTTACACAAATGAAGATTTTATTATATAATAATAGAACGCATATAGTAGACTTCTTGCTAAGTAAATCAGAAAGAAAGCATAAACTTTGTTAAGTGTTTTTAAAAGATCATTATTATAAATATATTTTATTGATTTTGTTTTTAGGACTTGCAATTTAATCTTATATATATAATAAATTTCAAATGATAAGTAATAAATTTGATCTATAATTGTTTCATTTGGTAACAACTACAACCACCACTACCACTACCAATAGCTTAAGGTATATTAATTAAGTGTCCTCATAACTGCATACTGATTTAGTATTGTCATCACTGGACAATGGACAATGGACAACACTGGATAAAAAATGCTATCCATTATTTATTGATCAAACAATGGATATATGATAAAGGTATTCATTGTATTTACTTATATTTATACAATTAATAAAAAAAAAAATAAAACATATTTAAAATTTATTATTATTTTATTATTTCAAATATTATCAAAAAAAAATTATATATCATACTATTCTTTAAAATAAAATATCTAAATTAGAAACAAACAAACCTTCTTCTTCCAATATATTGTGTAATTTGAGTTAGTTATATTGTAATTTTTTCGTTCACAATACAGTAGAATTTTGGGATCAAATTAAAATATAAATATTTAATTTTAATTTTAAATTACCAATAAATTGCTATTTCATAGTTATTGTTATAATATGAAATTTTGATAATGCTAAAATTCTATTAACTTCATTAAGTTCATGTTCAGTCAAAAAATTTTAACAAGTTTGAAGATGTTTATAACAATAACATTGTAAATATTTTAATAAGGAATCTTATCTTATATATCTAATATAAGATAAACAAAGAGCCTTCTTATTATTTTTATTTGCTTTTTCATTATGAAGTACTTCAAATCATGAAGTTAATAGATGTGACACTTTTCCTCCTATAATGTATGTCATTATATTTAGAAAGAGTTTTTGTTAAAAATCATGCGATTTGGATCCCTTTTATATTCTCTCTTTCCATTTAAGTTTAATAGTGGTTTGTATTATATCATCACAATGGACATAATGGACACAATGTACAACGTAATCATCATGAGATTAAACAAGTTGATTATGTACAAAAATAATCGATTATAAATTACCTTGCTAATCCTTACCCCCTCCAAAGATCCGCAAATATAAAAAATTACAATAATTATCATTTTTAAGAAATTTTATATTTATTTATTTTATATATTTTATATAAATAAGCATTTGTAGAATTTTCTGATTATTAATATTTTATATATTTTACATAAATAAGCATTTGTAGAATCTTCTGATTCTTAATAATGATGATATTTTTTTGATAATTTGAAATAACACATTTATTTGTTTACATAAAAATTCAATGTTTTTATAAAATAAAAATCTTTGCGAAATTTTCCATGATAATAATTGCGATTATTTTGCTTGTAAATCTATTAGTAATAGTAATATCAATTAGAAAAAAAAAAGAAATAAATAATTTATTTTAAAAATTAAAAAGTTCTTACAAATAAAATTCTTTAGTTATATATATATTGTGTTCATTCAAATAACATAGCATCCTCAGATTCATAATGATTTTCTTCTGAAATCTCCTCTTCGATGGTGCCATTATAATCATTTGATCTATTATCATCTTTTAAATCGTCATCTTCAGTTGGAATTTGTTGTGATTTTAATCATTCCTATTAATAAAATAATAAATTGAACTTGATTAGAGACCACCAAATATTAATACAAAATTTAATTCTTACCAAGAAAATTAAACATCATTTTCTTATAGCTTCTTCAGTATATCGAATATCTTTGCTGCATAGATTTAAGACAATACTACAATTTGCAAGTATAAATGCAATTATCAAAGGCTTCAAACAGACTTCTTTATCTTCTTTAGGTATAGCCTTCATGATAATTGTATTGATCATTGGAAGTCCAGTGTCATCTACTTTCCACAAACTGGTGTATGCTTTGGCAACCCATGGGTTTCTCTTCCATTCAATAATTTTTATATCTGCATTTGCTTTATTTCAGAAACTTCAGGAAATACTTTGAAAAGTGCCAGTCATATATCTTTGACAATGGCACTTCAATGATGACGCATTTTTTCAAGACACTAATATGAAACCCAAGTAAAAAACACAATAGATAATAAAAGTTTGTAAAAATAATATAATAAATGATATCATGAAACAATAATCATAAATTCCAAATAAAAACGAGAATTCCAACAATGTTTTCCAATATCTTTAATATATCCCTTAGAATGCTTTTCAACGTAACTTTCAAGATGTCCTTTAAATAGCTCTACAGTAGGGTGTAAAGTTATCTTTTGTATATCCTTAGTAATCGCGACGATACCTTTCTATTAAATTAAAAGTTTTACAAAATGAAATAAAGTTAAAATTTAAAAAGAATTATCATAAGGCACAGTATTATACCTGTTAAAGAAAAATTCATACAATTTTTTCTTTGTCAATCAGTAAATTAAAAAATCTTTATTTATTGCTTATATTAAAAAAATTGGATGACAAGCCATCTTCACATTGTAGTTTCGATAAAATCTTCATAATTTCGTCAAGCTTTTTATCTTATTTTAGTTGATTTTTCCAGATAACTTTGTTTTGTCCATTTAATTTTTCTAAAAATTTCACAAGAACTATATAATGTTCATTACGATTTCCTAAATTGAGAAATAAAATAAAAAATAAAAATTAGAAAATTAAAATCCTTAGAATGTATATAGGTCAGATTTTAACAATAGTATAATGTACCAACTACAATTTTCTTGTTTGTTTGCGTTGGTACAATATCATCCATATCATGTTTACGTTTTCTTGAAGTTTTCAAATCAGAAGATAAATGATCTTATTCATCATATTCTGTTTCAATGTCTTTAGAATTGTTAAAATCATCATTTTCATTTATAGGTTGAGGTTAATCATATGGTTCCAGAGAACAATCATCATTATCTCTTTCTTTATCGAGATCTCTGTCGTCTTGTTCATTTTAATATTTACTTAGATTGATTTCTGGACTTTTCATTTTACGATTTTGACGTATTTGATTGGAACTGGTTGATTGTGATCTTTTAGAAAAACCTGTAAATGACATCAAAACAATTTTGTAAGTAATAAGAAAAATAAGATACAAAGAATAACATATACTTTTATTGGACTATCTAAGTATAGATTTGGTCATAGTAAATAGGTAGTTGTGGTGATGGATTTATTGGAGAAATTCTAGATAAAGATCGCGTCTTTACTAAAGTTGGAAATTTAGCTAGTTTAAAATAAAATATATTTAATATATAATTGATAATTTGAATAAGTAAAACAATAAAATTAATATAATACCTTTTTTTTCTATAATTTTTTCCACTCTTAAACTTTTTTCCATTATTTTATTAACTATATAAAGATATTACATTAGCATCATTTTAATTCTAAAATTACAAAACTCTAATAAATCTGAAGAAATTACATTTTGTTATAAAACTTGTGATTTACAAGAAAGAAGTGTTCACATGGAAAAAGAGTAGTTCGCATGAGAAAATAGTTCGTATGAAAAAAAGAATTAATAAAATAGCTTAATAAATCATATTAAAAGGTGATTATGTAATAGTGATTCTGGAGTTGATCGATGGTATATAATAGTTATTCTGGAGTTAGTTGATGCATATGAATCATGAATGATCACCAATAGTAAAAATCTGATATATTTAAAATCTTATTATCATAAAGTAATAAAAATTGGATTACAAGTTGATGAATCGGTTATAAAAGTATTCGATAACAATTTTTATTTATTTTATGATGAAAAACATTTTTTTAAAAAAAATACAAAGATTATTAATTATACAAATGAGTTTGTATTACCTCTACGAAGGATGTAGCCAAACCTTTACAAAACAACAGGGTTTAACACAACATATTCAGTATCACCACCCTTTTGTAGAAAATGAACAAAAAGAGATACAAAATACCGTTAGTGATGATGATGCAGTTATTTTTCAAGATGAAAAGGTATTTGAAAAGTCAGATCCATTTAAAAGAAAATTATCTCGAGTTGAATCGACTAACTTTAATAATACTGAGGTGAGCTTTCAAAATACATGAAATCAATTAATATTTGATATAAATATTAATCATTTACATCTATTACCAACCTAAAATATAAAATATATTAATAGGAATTAGATAATTTTTCAATAGATGAAACATCATTAGAAATACAAAACTCTCCTTATTCTCCTTTGTTACAAGTACTTGATCATGATGAGAAAATTATGAGTGATACTGAAGTCATCATATATAGTTTGGATACTGATACTGATTTGGTAGATTCTGAAGATTTTTGTGAAGCTAGCTTTGAAGATGCAGTAAATGATATGATCGATGAGCATATTCTACAGTGGCCTAACGAGATTTACCAAAAATTCGCAAAGATATGTATAGATTATGAACTATTCAATTAAGCGAACAATTTATTTATTCGCTTTTTTAACAAAAATGTGAATTTAGAAAAATCACCTCTGTCAAAGAATTCTAAGGAGATGCATGAATTTATGAATTCAATGGCAGTACCGAACCTCGATTTTAAAAAGAAATTTATAATTGACTTCGAAGGCATTCCATATATCCTTCATTACCATTCAATAATAAAGACAATTAAGATACTTCTCCAAAAATCGGATATAACTAAGGACTTTGTGTTTCAGTTTGAAGAAAAAGTAAAGGTTAATATGGTATGTAAGTTCTTATTAATTTTAGTTGGTCAACTTATATTTAAATTAGAATCACTTAACTTCAGTATAATTATAGGATGGTAGTTCTTCTCGAATTTATGCCAAACAGTATAACTGTGATTGGTGTTGACAAACAGAATCTGATCTAAAGTTTGGAAGTCGAGTTTTATCAGTAATATTATACTCTGATGTGACTCTTTGTGACAGTCTAAATAAAACTCAGCAGCATCCAGTTTTCATTACTTTAGGTAATATTCCTTCATAGCAAAGAAACAAAAGGATGCTAAAGCATTACTCGGCTACCTGCCAATTCTTTAAAGTAAGAATCAAACAATCAGAAAATCAGAATACTTTCGAAGACTTTCACATAGAGTCATAAAAAGGTGTTGGAGTATTATGTTACATCCTATTCTAAAACTTGAAGAAATGGAATTAATGGTTAAGGATGTACAAATTACAGGATCTCTAAATTTATTCTAGATATGTTAGAAGCAGACGTGGTTACAAATACTTACAAATCAATCAACTGTAAGATGTCATGTCTGAATTGTACAGTGTTATTTGAAAACTTAAACAATATGAATCTTTCGAGAGATAATATAATCCTATGAATACCCGAATCAATAGCTCTTGTAATTCAAGAAGAGGAGGCTCACGATTATTTGATACATGATCAAAAAATGTATTTTGGTATTTTCCGTAAGTAACTTCAATGATTCAACTTGATTGCTTGATAATGTATTATTGTTTATTAATTATATATCAAATAATTCTGTTTAATACTCTAAAAGAAACTTAAATATATATGAAGCTGCTTTACCTGATTGAATGCATCACCTAGATCTAGGACTCTTCAGATATATGATAGATTATATGCAAGAACTCTTAAATGAACAATGTGGAAGTTAGGAAATTGATGAATTTAACAATAGACTAGCAGCAATCCCAAAATTTCCTGGATTAAAAATCTTCAATAATGGTATTACCACTGGTATAAACAGAAAATAAGTATCGAATGATAATAAAAATAATAGTCTCGATACTTGATGGTTTATTTGATAACAATGACCTATGTGTTAAAGAACAAAATCGTAATAATGATCATCTATATATATCTTCAAATCGGCTAACTTCTGTATTTCTTTCCTTTATTCATATGTATTTGATGAGTTGTAAAGAGGAATTTTTAGAAGAAAACCTATATGAATTTAAGGTAAATGATAATGAAATATTTTTCATAAATTATATAATTTTATTAAATATTATACTTATCTTGATAGAATTTGATCATAATGTGAAGTTATGAATTCGTAAATATATTTTCTCAATTTAATCCAAGTGGATTGCATCTATCAAAACTACATTCTTGGAGATATCATGTGATTTCTGCTATTCATCGATTTGGAGCAATCAATCGATTCACAACAGAAACTTATGAGACTTTACATAAGTTTTACGTTGTGACGGGTAAAATTTTAGATAGATTTAATTGGTAGTTTATTAAATCCATTTTATTGCCATGTAGATCTTCTATGAAGATCAATTTGTCCATTTTATTGCCATTGATCAATTATGTAAATCA